CCCCCGATCCCGTACCTATGTCGCCGAAGTAAACCGTGGAACACGAACTTCTGTAAAAAGTAATCGCGTCGGTTGTGATAATAATTGAATAAGGAAGATGATGATGATGATGTATAGGAGAATGTAATACTGGTTGAGAGTTTGTAGTATTGAGAGTTTGTATTAGTTGGAATTGTATTGGATAGTATATATGGGATATATGGGATAGTGGGATTTGATGTTGAGAAAGTTGTCACGTTTGTTTGTTGGTAGTTGTAATTATGCTATTTGAAATGATAATTTGGGATAATATGTGGAAAATGTTCAATAGTAGGGAAAGATAATATGTAGAAAATGTTGAATTGGAATTATAATGGGATATTGGGATCTGGAATAAGAAAGTTATTATGTTTGTTATGATAGTATATTTGTAACTATTTGAAATGATAACTTAAAGAGAGATAATATGTAGAAAATTTTGAATTCTATGTTGGAATTATAATATAAAGAATAATAAGTAGAATAAGGAAAGAATAATATATAGAAAATGTTGAATTATATTTTGAAATTATAATATGAAGGATAGTGAAGGAAGTAAAGTGAGATAGGGAAGGATATGTAGAAAATATGTAGAAAATGTTGAATTGGAATTATAATGGAATATTGGGATTTGGAATAAGAAAGCTGTTATATTTGTTGTACTTGTAACTATAGTATTTGAAATAATAATTTAGGAAAGGATAATAGAAAAGAATAGAAATATGATAGAAAATGTTGAATTATATGTTGGAATTAGTAATAGCGGGATTTGGAATAAGAAAGTGTATGTTTATTGATAATTATAATTATAGTATTTGAAATGATAATTTAGAGAGGAACAATGTATATAAAATGTTGAATTAAAATGTAGAGGATAGTAATAGGAGATTTGGAATAAGAAAACTGTTATGTTGGTGATACTTGTAACTATAGTATTTGAAATAATATAGGAAAGGATAGTATGTAGAATTGTATGTTGGAATTATAATGGGATATTGGAATCTGCAATAAGAAAGTTGTTATGTTTGTTGATAGTACTTGTAACTATTTAAAATGATAATTTAAGAAGAGATAATATGTGATAATATGTAGAAAATGTTGAATTACATGTTGGAATTATAATGTAGAAGATAGTAATAGGGGATAGTAGGATTTGAAATAAGAAAGTTGTTATGTTTATTGATAGTACTTGTAACTATTTAAAATGATAATTTAGGAATGGATAATATGTAGAAAATGTTGAATTGTATATTGGAATTATAATGAGATAGTGGAATTAGAAAGTATATATTTGTTGATGGTACTTGCAACTATGGTATTTGAAGTGATAATTAGGCAGAGATAATATGTGGAAAATGTTGAATTATAACATCAAGGATAGCAATAAAGGTAATGAAAGTAATAAAAATGATAATTTAGGGAGAGATAATATATAGAAAATGTTGAGTAGCAGTGTTATGATATAGAGCAATAAGATGGCATTTGAGGTAAGAGGTATATAATTGAAAATGATAATTTAAGCGATGAAAGTGTATTAATAGCACTCTTGTCGTTTAATTTAAGAAATTAGATTGAGAAATGATGATATTTAGAAGATAAAAGATAATAACAGAATAATACCAATGATGAAATTTAGTAATCATATACAGATTGCCATTGATTTAAAAACTCTAATTTCTTGTTACTACCAATTTTTCACAAGATATGTCCTTCTGTTGGATTAAAATAACAAATAGAAAGTAGAATACTTAAAAATAAATCGGATAACTAGTTGGACACAATAGAGAATGAATCTAGATATGATGGAGCATTTGAATGGTTTGATTAATACAGCTTACACGTTGACAAGCGGTAGTTGCAAACTGGTTTTTCGCTTCTTATATCCGCTTTTTTCCATGTTAAATCTCAATAGGTTGACATATAGATCTTGTTGCTCGAAATAAATGATCGACCGAGAACGCTTGCAAGTTATCATTGGATCAAGAGCTATCGTTGGAACAAGCTTCTTGATAATTTGTTAAAACAGATTCATTTTCAAGTAATAACTCGAGCTTGAAAGTCATCCTCCAAATTCCAAATACCGAAATCGATAAGAATAAATTTCTACACGAAATAAAAAATTTCCAATTTTTCCTTCTTCTTACGCAAAAAAAAAAATCTTACGCATGTTTAATTCATGCAATTAACTCGACTCGACTTCCGTCTAATGCCAACCACGCACACCTCTAAAACAAAAGTATATACTCGTTTCTTGTAGATCAATTTACTTATATAGCGATAAATCAAGTTTCCAACCAATTCCTTTTCTAATTCCCAATTCATTGGAATAGAAGTCAACTCGATTGACCATACTCGTGCATTTCACTGTTAATAAATTTCCTGCACGGATTAAAATTCCTCGAAAAATCAATATATATATATATATATATATATATACTTGATATTTAAGTCTTTCTCGCGATGAAATAGCGTCGAATTTGCCACCATTATCGATATCGCTCCTTGTGATATATACTTTTTACTATTTTTTTTTTTTTCCATCAGAGATATCAGATGCATTGCATACACCGTTGCAAATTCACGCTTCATCGAGCACTCGCTTTTCCCTTTTTTTCATACCCCTTTTTCTTCGTGTTCAGTTATCGTATAACAGTGCAACAATGTGCAGGAACAGTTTTTTCCTTTTTCTTTCTCTTTCTCTCTCGATTTCCAATGAAATCTGTTGGAACAGTTTCGTCTAATTTCTTGGAATGGAACGCGTTTTTTTTTTTTTTTTTTCGAGAAATT